TCATGGCTGTATTAGATCAAAAGGGTGCTTCTACTAAATACTGAGCAAAGGGTCTGAATACTTAGGACCATGTGATATTTCAGTTTTTCTTTTTTAATAAATCTGCAAAAATGTCAACGATTCTGTGTTTTTCTGTCAATATGGGGTGCTGTGTGTACATTAATGAGGAAAAAAAATTAACTTAAATGATTTTAGCAAATGGCTGCAATATAACAAAGAGTGAAAAATTGAAGGGGGTCTGAATACTTTCCGTACCCACTGTATATACACATACATTCCGTATTCAAATAAATAATTATGTTATGCCCTGTTACACCAGTGAAGCAACCCTGCTGCTTCCTTTAAGAAGCTAAGAACCAAAACAAGGTGCTGACCCAGATCACAGATATTACCCAATCTTCAAATACCATCCGACATGCAGGAGAACCTCAGACCCTAGCTACACTTGTGCTGGCGTGGCCACTGTATGCTGTATACCATGAAAGTAATAGAAAGAAAGAGATATAACAGGTACTTACGCCAAACATTTGCCTGAGGTCTGGATCTCTGAACCTGAAGGGGATGTTGGAGACGTGGAGCCTCTTGGGCTGCGTTTTGTTTTCTGTGTTTTCAGATGACTGTGTTTGCTGTTGGCTGTCTGTCTGTGCTGAATCGTCTGTCTGCTGTGGGAAAAAAAGGAAAAGAAATCCGGGAATATCAGTAAGTCTGGCAAATTTTGATGCACCAACTGTAAAGAAACTCAAGGCGAAGATACGCCCTTCAGTTGCAGAAAAGCAGCTGTCTTTGCACACAGGTGTTGACCGCGCCACTGATGTGTTTTTCGACTTGGTCCATCGTGGCGCTGCAGTCAGGAGGTATAGTCTGGCGTGCCTGCACCTCCAGGCGTTCCCGGGGTGTCAGACGCAAAGCCTTGTTTTAACAATATAACTGGTGAAAACTTATACCACCTGTTTCTGCCTCCCTTTCTCAGGCAGATATGAAAACCATATGTAGAGCACACACACACACACACACACACACACACACACACACACACACGCACGTTTGAGGCGTAGTTTGTAATGCAGTGTGTGCTGGGGTCGGGGCCGTGGGTGAAATATGGCATGGCTGCTTCACTATATCTTGCTTTCTCTCACTCTCTCTGGCCACGCATGACTGCTGGCTGCTCCCTTCGACTGTGTGCCTCTCAGTCTGGACTGCTGCCTGGGAGAGAAAGCGGCCTAGCCCTGAGTGTGTGTGTGTGTGTGTGTGTGTGTTTCTCTGTCTCACTGTATTTGTATGACTTGGCTAGTATTTCAGCGAGAGACTTTGTTTTCTATTTTTCTCCCATGTGTACGTTTGTGTGTCAGTGGGCGACTTCCAAATGGCATTTTTGTGCCCTTAAAGGGACAGTTCAACCAAAAATTACAATTCTGTCACCGTTTACTCGCTCTCATGTTGTTCCAAACCATACTTTTTTCAAATGAATCACTTTTTAATAATGACGCTTTTAATGAAGCATCCTTACAAAGAGTTTTAAAGAATTCTTTTATGCTCAACAAGACTTAATCTGTTTAAAAAAAAAAGAATAGTAAAAACTGTACTATTATGAAATATTATTACACTTTAAAATATCTGTTTTCTATTTTATTATGTTTTAAAATGTCATTTATTCCTGTGATGCAAAGCTGAATTTTTAGCATAATTACTCCAGTCTTCAGTGTCAGTGATCCTTCAGAAATCATTCTAATCATTCTAATAAACATTTTTCTTATTATCAATGCTGAAAACAGAAAATGTGACATTGCTTAAAGGATTCTTTAATTAAATTATAAATTTTTTTTTAACAAAGTCTTTACTTTTAATCAATTTAATGCGCCCTTTCCCAAAAGTGAATTTCCCAAACTTTTGAATGGCAGTGTACATTTTAAGTCTTTTAAAGTCTCACTTTATGTGTGATGAACAGATAAATATGTAAGCCATTATTCACTAATAATATTATTAAAATTACATTATAATTTACTGTATAATAATTAGAATATAATATTCTATATAATACTCTAATATTCTCCTTCAGTGAGATGTTAACCAGATGTGAATCAGTGAGTTGAACTTGAGAATGAATCATTTAAGAATTCATAAATGAATCCTTCAGGTCAATTTTGTGAACTGAATCAATTTATTCATTAAAAAGATCCAGTTCAAAAGAATGATTCATTCACAATGAATGATTCTGCTCTCATGAATGTGCATTCTCACTACACCAAACTTGACTTCAAGTGTTCTGCCCTTTGGAGTGAGGCCATAGTGGTGCTCACTTGAATGTAATTCACCCATTATGTGTGTTGTATGTATGTGAATATATGTGCATTTATTTTCCTTTGTGGCGCTTGAGAAAGGGGAGCGGAGGCTCTGCGTCGAGATTGCAGTTATGCCCAGAGATATTTTTTCAACTTTCTGCTTGCTGCAGCTGTCCTGTCATGCTTCAAGTGCTCTGAAAATCATATTGTCTGGAACAAAAGAATGACTGAGTCCCAGTGTAACAACTGCCTCTCTGACATTACAGATGCTCAGGACTGTTAAAGCAAGCTTCACTGGAATTACTGGCAACGGAACGGACCGTGCGTCTGTGCGCATGTGGCACTGTTATTTAAATCAGGCAGTGCTCAGGGCGACTCCGACAAAAGCGACAACAGAAAGAGTGAAAAAAGCAAAGCTCAAATGAAGAATAAAGAACGGCTCGCTGGGACCGTAAATATGAATATCGTGTCATCATAATGTTTGTACGATATACTCACCCGACTGAAACGCAAAGGTGGGGGGAAAAACATGAGAGAGAGCTCTTGAAAAAGACTAGTCTTTCGATACATGAAAGGCTGCAGGAGTGGAAGGGAAAAAAATCTGTCTTGTGTTATTACAAGTCATAAACAAAAGAACACCCACTCCTCAAGGCAGAGAACAAAGAAAAACGGAAGATAAAACGCTAAAGCAGTGTAGTAAACCATCCAATGTAAAACTGACAAGATGTGCGCCGTTTTTATTGCTTTAACAAAATTGCACTTTTCCTATTGCGAGAGGCTGGGTTTAATGGCATCGTGAGGCAAGCGGGCCTCTGCAGAAGAGACAACTGGGGTGTTATAATTGGAAATATGCTTTTCCATTTACTGCTCTTTCAATAAAAGTATAGGAAGGAATGCAGCGGGTCTTTAGGTTGAGGCACAGCATGGTCGGCGGCCATATGTGCCGTTTTAAAGATCTCATTTCATGCTCTGTGCATACGGCTGCCTTAATGGCTCAATTAATTGATTCCGAAATCAATTAATCGATTGATGCTGTGGGGAGCTGGAGGCCATGATGACTGATCTCGGGGTGATGGGATGAGACAGGGGAAAAGGAATAAATCTATAGGACTAAAATAGAGGCCAGCGGCAGAAGCATTTTGAATTGCATTCACAGCGTGTGCTGAAATATCCAGGCATCAAAATCCTGCTTTCATAATTCAAACAATATAATACTTCCAATTGTGATCGATTCCAGCGGTCTAAAAAAAAAGGGAGCCCGAGATTGTCTTGCTCCCTGTGGGAAGGAAAGGTGAGGGAAAGATGGAGCGATAAGGACAGGGATGTGAGGGAGGACAGCGGATCAGCTCGGAAGACCTACTCAATTACTGATTGGGGACTCACAGAGTTGTGAGTGTTTACCATTCATTGATCTCACACTGAGTGCTAAACGGCAAACAGTGACAGGGCTGACGGTGTGTGCTCTGAGCACACACACACACACACACACACACAGCCGCTGGAGTGTAAGAGCCCACACGGACACACATATGGCAGCGCTGGACAGAAAAAGATAACCTAACAAAGCACAGGGAGGACTTGGAGTGTCAAGTGCCAGTAAAATACTTTCCTTTTCGAGGAATTTTTCCAGTGCGGGGAGTGTGGAATAATTGCATCAGCCGTCATTGATCCAGGAGGGAGTTTTTGTTTAACTATGTTATGTGAAAAGAGCATTAAGAATGGTTCACACACACACACA